ATCCTAAAACATGAGTTTTGATCCCACTTAGTATTACAGTTCAATGATACTTCTCTTCACCTGAAAGTTAGAGGTTTTAGATTTGATTCTCGTCGAAGACAATTTCGAACCACATTATTACTTGTCTATTATAAGACTTAGGCTATTAATTTATCAACAATATTTGGCTACTAAAAAAATGAATAAAAACTCCTACTCAAAACCCTTCGTGTTTGAATCACAGAGCTCTGTACTTATAATCATAACTATTCATATTATAATCACATTGTAAAGATCATCTCTGTAAAAAAGAATTAAAACTAAGATCGTTTAGTTAATCTATTTTAGCAAATACATGGACGGTTCATAATGTTTTTACCGATTCTGTTCATTTGTTTTTATACAGTTCGATGACTAAACGACCGTAGTTTTTATTGATTTTTTTACAGAGGGAATCTTTACAGAGTGATTTATAACATGAAATGTTCTGATTATAAAAACGAAGTTCTATAAATCGATAATTAATAATTTTGAATAAGAACTCCTATTCTTTTTTTGAGTATTTAAGTATTGTTCTTAATTTATCTCTTTAATGTGAATAATATCATTAAAAAGAAAAATTACCTTCATAGGTCTTAGTAATTCGACATAATAAATGTCTTTACAAAATAATAGACACGAAAGTGGAATCCTCCTTTCATTATGTGGTCCTAATTTCTGGATTGTACGTGATTGATGTACATTATACAATCATGATGATATATTTCTTAAATTATAAAAAACAAAAACAATGGAAAACTAACGTTTCCTGAAGTGGGGGAATCTGCTGCTTGATGTGGTGCATAAGGGACACATGTTTTGATTACATATACGTAAAAACTGCATGCATATCCACAAATCCATAATCCTCCTTCTGCTTTTGCCACTTGGCTCTGATCACTTTCTAATATTTGGAGAAGGATTCTCTCTTCTCTCTTTTTTTCCTTCCCTTTCCTCCTCTCCTTTTTGAACGGTTACGGTTAAGCTACGTCAACATTTTATATTAATTTTATATAGAAAGAGAAAGACAAAATAGAAAGTATGAGAACAGGGAATGAAAGAAAATGGAAAGAAGAGGGGAGAGAATCTTAGAGCCTGTTTGGTACCCTATTTGAAATTTTTTTATCAATTCTCAAAACATTTCTTGAAAATAATTTTCTTTAAAACTAAAAAACTTGATTGGTTTGCAATTTAAAATTTTTAAATCTTATGACTTAAACTAAACAAAGAGATCTAAAAAAAGGGGGTTGCAAGAGAGAGAGAAAGATGAGAGAGGAGAAAAGAAAGTAAGAAATGATTGAAGGAAAGAGAAAGAAGAGAGAGGATCGGACGAGATAGAGAGGAAGAAGAGTGAGAGAAAGAACCAAGATAATGAAGAGAGCAGATTGGAGAAGAGACGAAAAAGGAAAAATAAAAAATAAAAAAAATAAAAAAAAGAGGAGAGAGGAAGAAGAAAAGAGAGAGAGATAGATTTGGAGTGAGATGGGAGGAGGGATAGAAAAGAAAGGAGTGAGTTTAAGCTTAAAAACTCTAAAAACTCACTTTTTGTTGTAGGCATAATTTACTGAACAATTATAGAGGTCATAGAGAGAGAGAAATGTGCGGCAATAGTAGAGAGAAAAAGAGAGATGTGTAATTGTGAGTGTGTGTTATTCCATCCCATTGTGCCTTTATTTATAGTAGTAGGGAAGGTTAATTCCTTACCCTTTAGGATTACAACATTTAATAGGTAATCTACTCCTAATAAGAATATAAGATATATTCCCATATCTCCTAGGATTTACACAATCACATTCCTATTCTAATAGGACTGCAACACTCCCCATTGAGCGTGTAAATACTTAAGTAAATGGCGCATTAGGTCTTCAGTGATGAAGCAAGTACAGTTGATGAAGTCGTTAGCACAATGAGCAAATGCGAGTCTCAAATCAACGGAAGAATGCATAAAAAGTAAAACTCATAAAACCTTTGATATGGTAAAACCCAAGGTGGGAGAAAAACCCATAGACTAAGGAGAAAAGTGAGAAGTTGCATTAAGTCAAAACTATACGTCTTTTGGACGCAAATAAAAGAGCTCACAAGGGTATGATCAACCTAGGATAGATGCCTCGTTAAAACCTAGTTAGGTAGCAAAAACCCAGTGGGAAAAATGCTCCTCCTCGTAGGGAAAAAGAGTGCATTAAGATCAAGTGAGTATACTTCTAGATTCTCCCCTTGAGTTTAACATAACTTCCAAATGAGAACTACAAGCATTGCATATGATAGTTAGGTATACCAATTTCTCGGACAAGCTTCTAAAAGGTTGACTTCGGCAGTGACGTCGTGTAGAGGTCGGCAAAGTTGTCTGGGATCGGCTTGCATGACTTCAACCTCCTAATGCTCTGCTGATGTAGATGTAGACGCAATATGTCTTGGTGTTGACTTTGTTGATGTATCATGTTTTGGCCCGTTGGATACATGCGGCATAGTTTTCATGGATCGTCGTCGGGACTCAACGATGGATGAAAACACAGCAAGTACTTCGAATATGCTCAACAAGAACTCCTAACCATGTCTCACTTGTGGCGTAGTGAAGTGAGGTGAGTCTTGGAACAATTCGAAGATTTCGCAACTAAGGTCATATCGTGGACCTCCAAGATATTGCGATATCCCTAACGGTAAAGACATAACCACTTGAGGATTTTACCTTGTGCGGGTTTAATAAGTAATCTGCGTTAGCATAACAATAAGACAAGTATCATTTCAAGGATCAGGGGGTCGGATCCACTCGGGATGCGTTGGAATTTGCCCTCATAGTACCTTCAGGGCACGTCTTTAATACCAATTCAGTGGTTGCGTGTAGGTGCGGTGCCTCATTTTTACCAAGATCAACAACGAAGGAGATGTCCTGTCTAAATACAATAAGATAAGTACAATGAAGAGCGAAGTTGAACTTTAGATATGGAATTTCGGATTCCATAACCTCTTCAAGGGTCTCATTTGCATATAACGTATGGACGATCAAAGGTATACTCAAAAGTAACACATTCGGGGTGTAGTTCAACTGGTAGACCAAGGTTTCAGAACAATACTTGAACTTCAGGTCAAGGCATAAACAAGTTTTCCTAAGATCTTTCATCTGAAATTCCATCTTCAGGTGCGAGGCAATTTTCTCAAGCTCTTCCGGAGTCTTCGTGAGATTCGTGTCAACGACATAAACTGTAACTCTAGCAATTCGGAATAAGACTTCACAGTTTAACATACAAGGGCATAATTCATATCCCTGACTGATAAAATAATCACTTAGACGAGTATACTACATCTGTCGGATTGTAAGTGAACGCCTCAAAACGAGTTAACAGGGTGTTCTGTGGTTTTGGAACTATTTGAACTAAGCAGGCCCTTATTTCCTGATATTGTGCATTTTGACTCCACGCGGTTCATTAAAACCACTGTTTCGATGTCCCAAAAATAATATTCCTTCAATGTACTTTAAACATAGTAGATAATCAATTCCAATTAATGAGGATATGTAAGAAATATTATTTTCTCTCTCATCTATTCTAAAGTTTCTGTGTTTAACAAGATTTTTATTAGAGATTACACACAGCTCAACTAAAAAGCTTAGCCACAAACTGACTATTGACTCCAAAAACCACCAAGTCTACTTGTTGCGTAGGTTGAGCAACTAAGAGCTAATTACGTATTTCAAGTGAATGTGGGCGTGCCAACTTGTGACCAAGCTTGGTTAACAAGTAGAGTAGATGTGGTGATGTTGAACGCGCTAATGACTTTGTACTCAAATGATCACGGCCAAAAAAGAACATGTCTCGTCCTTGGGTTCTAGAACCTCACGACAAGGTTGTTAAATCACTGCGAAGTTCAGTAAAAGTTTGGCTTTCAATGTGTCAAACACTGAGTGACCTGAATAACACCTCACTTCACCAAGAAACCTAACAAAGTGACCTCGTTTAGTGAGAGAACAATGACTTCTCATTGGCAAATACTTAGATAGGGAACCAATAGAACTCAAAGTTGTGTTGTTAATCCAAACTAAAAATACTTCTCGATCGATCTAATGATTCTACGGCTCCAGTGCTAGTAATCCAAACGAAAGATATCGTTGGTTGTCAGCTCACAGTCTCACTCCCACTCTGGCACTTTCTCCCACACTCTGACTGGTTTCGAGCCCGGCGACAAAGTCGACGCCTTCCACCTCGACGCTTGGTGGCCCGGGTTGTGATCAAGCGCGAGTGGGATGAGTACACGGTGCGGTTCATGTACCCGCCTGATTTGCTTGTGGTGCGGCGGTCCGAATTGCGTTCTCACTGGGATTTGGCGGACGGCTTTTGGGTCCGTGCCATAAAGGAGGTACTGGTTCTGGGTTTTTGGTAATGCATGTGGGTTTTGTTTTCTGATGCATGATTTTTCAAGGTTTATGGTTGCATGGGGTTTTTTGTGTGTTTATTTATGATTTTTTCTTTGAAGATTTCTGACATGGGTTTTCATGATTTAAGAACATGCTGGTTGTTTGTACATATTTGGCTCTAACTTCTGTTGTTTTGCTTCTAAATTCCCCATTTTGACTTTAAAAAAAATAAGTTTTTTATACACCTTGATTGCTTGTCATGGTCCCCCAGTTTCATCATATCTTGGCTAATGTTGTATTTCTCTACCTCGAATGCTTGTTTATATTATTATATGCCCAGATGTTGTCCAAGCCTAAAACCTTTGTTGTTTGTCCAACCCCATATGCAGGAATCAGGCCCAACCCAATACGTTCGGCCCAAAAATATGAACCAACTATCACTCTTGTGATACACAAACCATTTCGCCTAACAGTGTCCAGTCCAAGCGGAGGTCAAACTCCGTCGACCGAAAGCCATTTCGCCATTAGAGAGACTGAAACCAAATGAAACACAAAAACCCCATCTCTCTCTGATTCCCTCCGCCCCGATTTCCATCAATCTCCCCCACGAGAGTTCAAAGCTTTCGGAGAAGCCCAGCTCGCAATGTCCGCCGGAATGGTGTCCCAGTTCAAGGAAGCCACCCAATCGGCGAGGGCCACGCTCCGGCCATGGGGTGAGCTCCTGGAACCCACCGCACTCAGACTCCCCTCCAATCTCTCCGACGCGACGACCCGACTCGTCCAGAACTTGACCCACTTCCGGTCCAACTACGCCCTGATCGCCCTGATCGTGCTCTTCCTCAGCCTCCTCTACCACCCGTTCTCCATCATCGTCTTCTTGATCGTCTTTGCCGCGTGGCTCGTACTCTACTTCTTGCGTGACCAGCCCCTCGAGGTGTTCGGGTTTGCGGTCCCGGACCGGGTCGTGATGGTTTTTCTTGCCTTGGTGACGGTGGTGGCTCTGGTCCTCACTCATGTGTGGCTCAACGTCATCGTTTCGGGTGTGATTGGGGTCGTTTTGATTGGGTTGCACACCGTGTTTAGGGGGACGGAGGACCTTGTGATGGACGACCAAGAATCGCCGTATGGGGCTCTGCTCTCGGATGATGCTGACCCAAGTGGGAATTACACCATTATGTGACTGTTCCTCTCCAAATTTTATGAGGTGGGTTGGAATTGATTTCCTTTTTTTCTTCTTCTGGATTTTGTTGAAATTAAATTTTGGAATTTTGTTGGGTTTTGGTTGGAATTGTGGATTTTAATTGCTTACAATAGGGAAGTTAGGGTTTAATTGATATCCTTTAATTGATATCCTTCAATTTAATTACTTCATTGTTATTTGTGATATTCATCCGTTTTCGGAATATAAATTCATTGTAGAGGTGTCTTAATAAAATTCTTGATTTGACTGTATCAAATGTGATTTACCTCCATCCGTTCCCAGTTGCAGAGAATTGCATCGTCGCTGTTGTGTTAGTAATCCAATTAGCATTTTTGCTAAGCATAATGTGTAGCGTAATACCGCGCACATATGAATGGTGTACAGAATATATAGACATGTTATGGTCTTCTTAGTACTCATATACCTTTTCTTGCAACTTTATAGTTTTCTGATTGTATCAAAATATTTGGAACTTTCTTTACCTAAGTTGAATACATGCCTGTACCTAGACGATTTTATGTACGAATAATTGACTAACGTTTATCTTTCCTTCCAACAATATTTTTTGGAAGAGCTGGCCCTATATTAAGTACGCTTTATAGCCCTTTTCCATGTCCTTAGTTCAAATCTTGCTTTGCCAAGACCACTCTGGTTGCAATAGCAGGATATCTTAGCAACTTGTCTCCGGATATTTTTAATTATAAATGTTATTTCTAGGACCTGCAGTTTGGTTTGATCATTTTGATATCTTACCGATGAAATCTTGCATACTTTTTTCCCACTAAGCTCGAAGTTCCAGTTTCAAAACCCGGGCCTGTCGATCTAAAAATTCGAACAAGAAGTGCATAACAAGGCTTCTTGTGAACCACGACATTCTTTTTGTTGCTCTCCATGCATTGCATTATAGATTTGCTGTTAAAATTGTTCCAAATTGAACAAAATAGACGTCAAATACAGGTGCGTCTAAGTTATTATGGCTGGCATTACTCTCTGACCATCTTGTCATAATTGTCAAACAAACTTGTTTTTCGTTTCCTTCTTGGCGTAAATAGTTCAACATTTCATTGTATCGATTGTCAGGTTTGTATGAAGTATGAACATAAAATCAACAACCTGTCTCTACCAATTCTTGTTACAATACTTGATTTCCGATGTTAAAACTAGCAGATGTTTGATAACCTGATGCAATCTGAACAATTGACTTTGTTTTTCTTTGAATCCTTTTGCCACTTTCATTTTGTAACTTAGAGTTTCTATCTCATGAAATTTGTCCTGCATAGTTTCTTACCTTTTCATATGTTGTAGCCATTTATCAAACAGAGTATTTGCAGTACCGCTACACTTGGGAATAATTTGTCTATGCCATATGCTTTATCACATGTAAATGGGGGCAGTGACATGGTTATAAATATGAAATTCTCTATCTGGACTTTGTCAGGATTGAATGAGCTGAGTGATTTATACCCAAACTTGCATTAATTTTTTCAAGTACTGACCCGAGTCTATTTTGTGCATATGATTTATTGACATGTTATATTTAACAGCAGTTGTTTCAACATTTTATGTCTTGTACCATGAATTGGAGATGGAGATGGAGCTAATGCATTATTTTCCTCGTTTTTATGTAATTTCCATGTATGCATTGCAGTTGGTAGCATTTCATCATTGTTCGATCAGGTACCTGTGTTCCAGACAAGCCTCCAATGGGGGTCAACCTCTAACCAACAGATCGAGTTGTGATGTCGTTCTTCCTTCTGAAGTCGGAAATTGTGTATCCACCACCCTAGTTGATGTTCAGCACTTCTTACTGATTCAAATCACGTTTATAGTGCTTTTAACAGATAGACTTGTATAGATCATTGTTGTCTCATGGTAAATCGTGGGTCACATTGTCGGTTTGTGCCATCGTGGAGTACATTGGAACCTTGCAAACTGAAAGTTAGGTGCAATTTTTTGTAGTAATGGTATATGTATGCAGCGATGATTCCTTTTCCTACTCATACGTGTTGCAACTTGCAAGTGTTCTCTGTAGGAAACAAGTTCAGAAAATCTGCTTTATACTTAGAAATAAACCAAAAGGAGTGAATTAGGTAAAATTACCTTATTCTGTATTTTTAGATTATCTGTAAGATAGTCGACTGACTCAACTCTAGAGACTATAGTGAATCTCCTACCTATCTCCCAACTTGAGAAGATAGTTGGTAGCTGTACTTGACTAGGGCAATTCTCACACGAGTGAAACTGCATTGGTATAGGTGCCTAACTACTGACAAAGTCTTGCACTCCTACCCTCCTACTAAGGCTATATGTGCTTGTTTCCCCTCAATTAGGAGTAGGATTTACATAGAATTGGTTCGTCGCCACTATGACATTTTGATATATTCACTTTGAAAACGGAAAAGCATTTCAAATAGTTTATACATTTCCCCTCCTTTCTTCTCTCAAACTCAGAGAGACAATGGAGCCTTTAGCTCTCAAGCCGAAATTGCTTCATGACTCGGGATTTCATAATTGGAAGGGCAACACCCGAAACTTTTGACTTAAATCCAAGGTCTGAATCAACCACGACGATCGCTGCAACAACCTCCCGATCAAAGACTCCAATATTTCCTCCAAGCACCTCTCCATCAAATCCAAATTGGGCAAATGGGTGCTTTGAGACCTTGGCTTCTCCAATGGCACTGTTTTGAATGGCACCAAGGTCCCTCCAAGCACGTCGGTTGGATCTTAGCCACAACGACAAAATCAAAATCGGCTAGTACATTTCCATTGAGGTCAAGATCGACGATTACAAAGAGAGCCATCCAAGACAGAACCTTAGGGGTTGTTCAGGCTAGATTTGTCCCTCGCATAACTCCCATGGTCTTTCTCATTGGGTAGAGTTTGATGTTTGGTTCTCTGCAACATGAATTTGGAGTTAGTTTGAGAGGTGCTTTGTAGAGCCTTTGTTAGGCCTTTAGGCTCACAATCAGGACTAATAGAGATTTGAGCATGCCACTGTTAGCTTTATTTAACATATTGTTTTCTTGGTTGCTTAGTTAGTTGTTTACTTGCACCACAAGTTATTTGTACTTCTTGTCTTAACGGAATTGTCCATAGATGGGTTAAGTGTGTACTATGTTCTTTTCGATGCCTTTTGACAAAGGACTTTTATTTATAGTATCATATGTTCATTTATAAAGGAGTTCAAGGTCATTCAAGTTATTTTCTTAGTTATTAGTTTAAACCGATAGTAATTAGTTTGACAAGATTAGTTATAACTAAAACTGGGGCAAAAATAATTGGAAATGACATAAGGTTCGAAGTAAGATACAAAAACTACAGATCTACTTAATGTAAGTATAAATAAGGAAGATCTGGGGCAAGATTACAACCTTGGTGGGCAAGGTTCTTCTTGTGGATACTTCTCCTTGTATTTTACAGTGATTGAGACTTTGAAAAGTGAAATATAAACAAGGTTTACTAAAGGGATTTGATAGTACAACAAGGGAGTAATAGCAGAGCTTCTAAAATTGGACAAAAGAGAGTTTCCTATGGTGGACCTGGGACTTGAAATGGACAAGGGGTGAACAAACTAAAGCTTTTCCTGGTTTTCACTGTTGAGTGTAAAATTAAGTGTTGTTTTTGATTGGTTGAGAGAGAGATTCCGCTTGCATCCTTTACTGCTTTTATAGACTCCTCCTTCATTTTTGGTGATGGCTTCTAGAGCATGGTGAGTCATCATCTGCTTTTGTTAGTTACTTACCCATGCCATGGAAAAGTACTTTTTGCTGAGGGTGAGCTGCCCTCTGCAACTTGTCACTTCACATGGGTTTGTTGCCTATTAGTTGCTAGAAAATGGTTTTAAATTCACCCTAGGCTGCCACCTGTCCCAACCCAATCCTTTTCTGTTTTACGCACGCCAGGGCTTTCACTTGATTTAAGCCCAATATTAAATATCCACCCAAATAGTGCCCCCTTTAATCATTATTAAGTCTGCTAATCAAGACATTGATAATGATTAAATTTGAACGCTTGCCAAGACTGGGTATTACCACTAATTAACTTAGTTGTTTTAAGTAAACCTTTGCACTAACCCACGACTTCCAACGTTAACTACCTACTTGTTATGGAGCTTCCACTTTACTCTTTTCGGCCATTACCTTCAACAAGCTTAACTTTCAAAACCACCAAATTCTCTTGAATTTTCAATCTTTCCCTGACTCAAACTTTAGCCACTTTCTTCATCCTTCTTTGAATTCAACAATGGCCCCTAAATCGCGCTTTGCATACGAGTCTGAAAAAGGGATTGTCAATCTTCACCGTTGGCTTAACGGTCTTCATCGCCGTCGGGCTAGCCTCAATCTCCATATTTTCTTCCATGAAGATAGGGCCTACTTACTAGGACCTGCCTGGATCTCCAGAGTCCCTATTTCCGTGGAAAGTAATATGCTTGCCAAGAAATGCTTCACTCCTAACCTTTATGAAGCTGAGGAGGGCATCCCGGTTGCCAAATGGTCAAACTTCAAAATGGGTTTTCCTTCTATGACCGATATAGCTTGGTCGAAATAGGTGGACGAGATGAAACCCATCTGGAAGAAGAAGTGGATGGCAAATGGCATCTACGAGTTAATCATGATGTCCAAGATTACCATTCCTATCAAGCACAAATTTTTGTCAACAACTCTTCTCTTCTAGAACAATGGAACCATCACCTTTGACTTTAGGATAGAGCCCATGACTTCAACTGTTTTGGGCATGGCTCAGGCGTTCGTGCTAAAGCCATCGGGCAGATGTGTGGACATTACCCACGATTGGTCATTCCCTTCCCAGCCAGCTGCTGAAAACTTTGAGACTGCAAAGGCTATAGTGAGCTTGGAATATGATTCCACCACTTTCAAAAGCTATGAGACCTCATTTGCGGGCTTCATTCATTTCGCTAAGAAGAGTTTTTGCCGACATCTTCTTCAGCGGATCAAGCTCAGGGACACATGTATTTCCTCATTTATTGGTTGAACAAACATGTGTTCCCTAACAAGTCTAAGGGGCTAAAGCTAGAGTGGATCCCCTTGGTGGAAGCTCTGCCCTTTTTTTATGATGTTGCTACAAGGCCTTTCATCTTAGCTCACCTCTATCATTTGCTATATGAGATGACTAATGGGTAGCCTTTTAAGACAAATCTTAATGGAGCAAGCTGGATGATCCAAATCTGGCTCCAATGGTACTTTCTAGAGTTTCTGGCTTCAAACCTGGAATTCCCCAAAAGGGTAGCTCCTGCCAGAATTCTAGCAGAGGCTGCAGCTACCAGCCACTCAACCTTCTCCTGCCTCTATTTCTGCAAGATCTGTAGAACCATAATTGATCTTGCATGAGGTGCTTCTATGCTTAGGATGTATCCTTGGTTCTCTGACAATCTTTTTCAAGAATCATTCGAGGCGGATGCTAGAAGATCTTGCAAGGAGAAGTTCATCAGTTGCATCCAGCAAAGAGACCTAGCTTAGGGAGTGAGAAGTGACCGAGCTGCCTCCAAATGTAGGCTGAAGGTTTACCACCCAAATTTCTATGGCAGACAGTTAGGATTTAGGCAGCCCATCCCTATCATTTTCTTTGACTCAGTGCACTGTGGCACCTCTTATTGCCTCTACTCCCCCTCCAATGTCATATTTCGAGCAAGCAGGCATAACCTGGAAATGATGATCAAAATCGCACATAAACCCAATTCCCTCAACTTTGAGTGTACTGCTCTGTTTACCACTTGGTGGGAAGCCAAGTGGTCCAACAAATATGAAAGGGATATCAGGAAAGCCCATGACAGGATATTCGAGCAAGTCTTTTTCAAGTCTCTTCCCAAAAAAGAAGAATTAGAGAGATGAAAGAAAGCCATTAACGAGAAAAATCAACTTCTGTTGATAGGTGACTTATCTTCCTAACTCATTCCTTTAATTGCTTGATTTGATCAAATGTTAACTTTGTTTTCTCAATTATACAGCCCAAGGCAATCCTGCTGAAGCAGTCGTCGGGCACGAGGAAGAAGAAGCAGTTGACACCCTAGTTCTGTAAGAAGCTACTGCTGAAGCTACTAGGTAGGGAGCTGGCCCGAGCCAAACTCTTGGAGAAGCTAAAAATATCTTTGAGATGTTTAGTGAATCTGAGACAGAGGTAGGACCAAAGGCAGAAACCAAAATATCTTGTTGGGCAAAGCCCATGGTTGTAGAATCTTATAATTCAGAGCCCGAGGATAGAAGGACCAAAGATAGGCATGATGTCCCTACTCCTAGAACAAACCCAACTAGAAAAAGAACTAGGTCCCAGACCTCTCAAACTTCTCAATCTCTCTTTGCCCTTCTAGCTGAAGCGGGCAGGAAAAACAAAAGTTTACTAGTGAGCACTGTATCCTTAAATTTCTCCATTCTGCTCCATTCTCATAAATATCAAACTTATTGCATTTTTCTTTATGATTAGGACCTATTGCTAGTAAGAAGCTTGACTCTCCTCCCAAGGGGGTGAAGGCCAATGAGGATAGGCAACAAAGTGATAAGGAAGTTCTGTCTAAGATTTTGGAGGAATTAAAGGTAGTCATTTATTTTGAACACTCAATATCCATTTTCTCTTCCATTTTTAACTTTCCTATGCTAATTCCAATTGGTTTTCCCAAAGCAGGTTTCCAAGGCAAAGGGAATTTCTAGGAAAAACCTTACTCACCTCTAGCCCAACCTGTGCAAGCTTCTCCTTTTCAGGCCAAGCCTTTAGAGGTATCTTCTTTTCCTCAAAAACGTTACTTTTTGAATCTTTAAGATCCAACTTCTAAACTGACTTTTGCTATTTTAGACAAGGAAAAGCACTCCAGCACCTGTAATTCAGCAAACATCTACTCTATCTTCTTCCTAAATTCCTCCAGCCATAGCCGTGACTCCCACCTTTCGATTCAACCCTACAACTCGATAGTTGTTTCATTATGTAGAAGACAATATCATCTCTTCAAGTTTTCTTTCATTTAGCCATCTTATGTTTTCTGTCTTTTGATTTTGAACTTATGTTTTGAATTCTGCCTCTGCCAGCCTTTACCTTTTCCAGAAGCTACTAAGTTTCCCACACCGGCTGCTAAGGAACCAACAGTCCATGAGATACCAGTTGTCTCAGATGTGACTAGCCCCAGGAGCTCTTATGTTCCATCTTTATTAAGCTAGCCATATTCTCCTAAAGCAGCTACAACAAAAACCCTTTTTCCCAAGGTTCAGGGTCCAGCTAAGGTATATTTAACTTACCAACTTATCTTTTTGTTTTTATTTGGTTTAAGATTATCCTTCCAATTTGTTCTTTTTGTAATTTGACAAGCTTCTAGCGATGGTTCGGGCAAGACTTCTCAGCCTGCTGTGAGCAAAGTGGTTCCTTTCCATTTCTTTGGGCTATTGGAGCTTCAGGGGTCCTAATTCCTAGGCCTAGGAATGTGGATGCTACTAGATCCTCTTCCTCTTCCACTATTGCCATTGCAAAAATTGCCATTGCTGCTGCTACTGCTTTTGGTGGTGCTAGTGTCATACCCTCACCATTGGTTTTTCTCCCAGCCACAACTTCTTTGCCCGAGCGAGTTAGAGAGTTCAGGCAAATTAGGACTAAGATGATATCCCTAATGTGTCTTTCTGATTCCTAACACCTTCAAATCAATGTAGGATTTTCAGAGCATGGATGTAGAGGGACTTGTTTGCCTCCTTCAGTCTTAAGGCACTTCAAGATGCTGAGAAAGCTCTATTTGAGTTGTTCTAGTCCAAGCAAATGACCAAGGTGCAGTATGAGTCATTCATTTGCTTCTTTGAGAATTTTAGGGCTTTGAGGGATCAACATCTTAGGGCTGAGAGGCAGTCTAATCGGGTGAAGTGCTACAAAGAGAAGTGTGAACAGACTTCCACTAATCTTCAGTAACTTGTAGAAGAAGGGTCGGGGTCAGCCATGGAAGATAAAATCATGGTAGTGGCTATAGACATTTAGAAATTGAAGGAACAACTCTCTGCTTTAAAGGGCAAGCAAATGATCTTTTCTAGCAGGCTTTACAAGAAACTAAAGAAGGTGAAGAAAGCGAACCAGAAGATGGAAGAATTAGAAGCTCAACTAGCCAAGAGCAACATAACTCTAGAAGAGCCAAAGTCGCATCTTCACCATAATGCAAACTTATTATTCCAGAATAGCTGCTCTAGCTAAAGATGTAAATTTGTTAAACAAGCTTTAGCTTATGTATGTTCCCAATTATTAAATAAAAAGATCTTCCATTGTCCTACTACTCTATTTGCCTTTTTACAATTACTTGTCATTTTGCCCAGAAGTAGCCCCTTATTTACACACACACACACACACACACACACACACACACACACACACATATATACAAGGATTCTTCGAGAAACTACTCTAGTTGTCAAACTTCATCAATGTAACAGTCTCTAGCATCCCAAAGAGTTGGGTGATACTTTTTTAAGAACTTAGCACTGATTGGATGTTTTTGTGAACTTTCTTCTAGATCTACCAAGTAATATGCCCCCTTATCTAATACTTTGAGAATCATAAAGGGGCCTTCCCAAGTAGGACTCCACTTCCCAAATCCTCTAAGTTGAACCCCCAATGGTAGGATTGTCTTCCACAGTAGCTCTTCTTCTTCAAAAGATTTCAATTTTACTCTCTTGTTATATGCTCGGGCAACAGCTCTTTTCCCTTCTTGGATCTTGTTTAGAGTTTCAATGCAGGAAACATCTAAATCTTTAACCCCCTGACATATGGTTTGTACAAACTCATAACTATGTAGATCAAATTGGTTATGTATTCTCAAAGAGCTAACATTGATTTCCATAGGCAGTACTGCATCTTGCCCGAACCCGAATGCTAATGCATAAGGAGTAATTCCAGTTCCTGTCCTTTTTGAAGTTCTGTAAGCCCAAAGAGTATCGCCTAACTTTTCATGCCATTTCTCTGGGCTATCAGCCACCATTCTCTTGATGATGTTAACAAGAATCTTGTTGCTGGCTTCTACTTGACCATTAGACTAGGGGTAATAAAGGCTAAACTAAATCATATTTATCTTGAATTTTTCTGCAAACTCATCTACCTCTTTTGAAACAAAGGATGGTCTTCTATCTGTAACAAGGACTTCGGGCACCCCATACCTATGTAGGATCTTGGTCTCAATAAACCTTTTGACAACAACTAAATTAAAAGTCTTTACAACTGAGGTTTCTACCCCTATGGTAAAATAATTAGTTGCCACAATTATAAAGGTATCTCTTTTACTAGAGACTGGATATATTTGCTCGATGAAGTCCATAGCCCATCCTCTAAAAGGCTATGACTTTGCAATTGGATTCAAAGGCACTGATGGAGTATGTTGCAAATGACCATGCCTCTGGCATTCTTCACACCCTTTAGCATAAGCCTTGCAGTCTTTTTCCATATTGGGCAAGAAGTAACCATATCTTTTTGGCAACTATCTCTTCTTTGTTCTTGCTTGATAAGCTCCACAAATTCCCCCATGTACCTCAGCCATTACTCTTATTGACTCTTCTAGACCCAAGCATTTTAGTAGAAGCCCATCTGGGATTTTCCTCAACAAAATTTCTTCCCACGGAACAAACTTAGTTGCATGTTGTCTGGTCTTCCTACAAGTAGGGAGAGAAGGATTTCTAAAGTATTGAAGAATGGGAAACCTCCAATCTTCAACCTCGAGTTTTCCTGTTATTATATCCAAACTAAATTCCCTCTCAAAGATCAAAGGAAGGCTCATTGTCTGTATCTTCATGTTTATCTTTGATGTTTCTCCCTAATCCTGTGTTCTAGAGGTTAGTTGTGCCATCTCATTTGCAGCTAAATTCAATTTCCTAGGAATATAATTAACCGTGACTTCATTTCCCCAATATGCCAATAATTGAGTGGCAATCATGTAATACCCTGCCATTGTGATATGCTTGCACTTGTATTCTCCATTTAACTCATTAATCACTAACTTTGAATCTCCAAAACCTCTAATTCTTCCACCTTTAATTGCATCATAATCTCTAAGCCAATGATTAATGCTTCGTATTCTACTCTATTGTTGGTGACATCGTCATAATCCAAGAGAAATGAATAGCAATAGTGAGCACCTCATGAATTGATGATGATTATTCCTGCCCTTGCAGCCCGATGTGTGCACGATCCATCAAAATATAGCTTCTATAGAGTGATCTAGATACTAGATACCTTCTTTATTTCTTGCTGGGCCCGAGCTTCTTTGCCTGAAATGCCTTATCTCAGTGGAAACCAGATACTTGCAACTTCCAAAGTACCAGGAATATTGATCATCTCCTTTTCAGGTTCTTGGTGTTCTGTCAAAAAGTTTGTAATTGCTTACCCCTTCACAGCCCTTTGAGGCACATATTGGAAACTGAATTCTGATAATGTCAGAATCTATTTTCCAATTCTTCTAGTCAGCATGGGTTTAGACAACATGTATTTGATCATATCAGTCTTAGCAATTATGTGAGTGTGGCAAACAACATGTAATGTCTCAACTTGCTAACGATGAAATACAAAGTTAAACATAGCTTTTCAACAAGGGTGTATCTTGTTTCTACCTCAGTAAGGATTCTACTAAGATAGTACACTTTGTTCTTTCCCCCTTCATTATTTTGAGCCAATAAACTCCATATGGACTTCTCAGATGCCGAGATGTAGAGCTATAAAGGCTTTCCCCTTTGGGGAGGCATGAGTACTAAAGGAGATGCCAAGTAAGCTTTCACCTTATCAAAGGCTTCTTGATGCTGAGGGCCCTACTCAAACTTGTCTTGATTATTTAACCTTAGCAAATAAGACAGGGGTTGGATCTTTCCCACTAGGTTAGCAATGAACCTTCTCAAGAAATTAATCTTTCCCAGTAATCTTTGCAATTGTACTTTGTTGGTAGGTGCAGGTGACCCTATTATGGCTTTGGCTTTATTCTTGTCTACCTCCACACCTCTTTAATGAACTAAGAACCCCGAAACGTTGCCCGATCTGACCCTAAAAGCATACTTTTTAGGATTCATCCTTAATTTGTGGGTTCTCATCTTCAATAAAGCACGTTTAAGATCTTCTAAGTGTTGCTCCTCAGTTTTAGACTTCACCACAATATCATCGAATGGCATTAGTTAATACTTTTAATATAGGTACAATGTTGGCCAGCCATTCTACGTACTTTGCAGGTCTAATAAAATATGCCTTTACTAGCTTCTCAATTTCTTCTTTAACTTTTTCTTCTATATCCTTTTACATCCTTCGTGGAGCTTACTTCACCGGCTTGTACCCATCCTTTATAGGCATTATGTGTTCTACCGACGTAGAATCTAACCTTGGCATTTCTGTATAATGCCATGCAAAGCAATCCTTGAACTCATGCAAAAAATCAATCATTTTCGCCCGATCGGCAGGTTCTAGTAAGCCACTAAGCTGTATTGGCCTTGGATCCTCCACAGTCCCTAAATTAATGGTTTCTAAGGGGTCTTGGACTTATGGTGCTGGCTTATTGAGCTCTATAGATAAAAACTCCATTGATAGGATTAAAAGTACACCACAAAGTAGCACACAAATGTCCTATTGATTTTCCTTATTAACACTAAGATTTGTCAATTGTAGCATATGAAAATAAGGGTCTTTCCCGCAAAAGATTGTTTTATCTAACTACTTAAAATGTCACAAAAATTGGGCTACTGTCCCTACTGGCCAGCCACCAAAAAATAATTAATAGACCGACTTATACTTATCTAAAGTCTACAAAATTTTATATGCAGACACTAGATACACAGAGCTCCACTCACACAAATTGTGGGATTTTTGGAGTTAATTTGCTATTTAAATTAAATTGAACAAAAACAGAACAGAAACAGATTTTTAAGTAGTTCACAAATTAAGAAAAACGAGTTAGGGGAATTGTTATCCACCACCAAATAATCATACAAACATGTTATGTTTCATTCAAATTCCTTCTATTTTTGGATGAAGATGCTCAAGTTGGCTCAATGTTAGAACTCAACCTATTACTCTTTCTTATGTGGTATGTTAAGAGAATGGCATTTTCAACTTAACATAGTCCTTAGCATGCAATCTAGAATGGCATGTTCATAGATTTAACAAGTAGAAATCATTAAGAACGAAAAGAGTTTGAGTCATCACAAGGCATCGTAAGTACTGGCGTTGTCTTACTTATCCTAGAAATTGGTTCACATGTTAATCGCAATTAACAAGTACTACTCTAGAACATATGTAGGTCCTCATTCAACAAGGGCAGGCACACACATATTCATAGCATTAGAATCCTAGATATGCTTACTAAGTATGCATCCGTAGAAAACACATAAAGAATTCATCAATGAGACAAGTAGTGAACCAATTTTCATCCATTCATAAAAGTAATTCAAACGAAATGTCATAACAAACTTGCAATCATATTCGGGGCTTCAAACAGCCCCTAACTACTAAAAATTTAGTTACACAATCCTTAAGTTAAAACAAAAGATAGGCATGAGTTTGAGAAAATAGAACTGAAAGAAATCGACTGAGGCTTCCTCTTTCCTTCCTTCCCTTACGCTACTTTTAAACCAATTCTTGCTGCATCATTTTCTTTTCCTTAACTCACCCACTAATAGCCATTTAGTGATGATAATATGTGAGAGGAAATGGTAAAACAATTCTAACTCCTTGGGTAGCCTTAATGCCAATTACTCCCTCTTAATCCTCATCTTTACTTCCATTTCCTCTGAAATTTGAATAGGTGTCAGCTCGTTTATTCTTGACTGCATCAGTTTTGGCTGCTAGATTTATTGGATTTATTGCTTTCAATGCTTTCTTGTCAGTTACAAACTGCTCAGCCTCTTGGGAACCTTTTAGTATTAAAACAGCCATAAGTTCTTCTAGAAAAATTATATTAACAATCCGTGAAATGCTCCAGAAAATAGACATCCATAGCTTTCCAAGCATATAAGACTCATTCTCTAATTCATTCTGAGTTGTCCGCAACTTGCTTCCAAAGTCAGCTGACCTGCACAGGCAGTTTTGACAAATTTATTACTTAAAATCTCACTTGTGCTATTTTTCTTTTCTTTGCTTGAAAAATCCTACAAAACACAAGAAAAAAGTAAATAGCTCAAAAATATAAGGAACTAACTAAGAAAAGATAAGTGAATTTGATGTAAAATATATATAAATATGAGCTTATCATCCATCGATTTTGGGACTTCGGGCATGTCATCAGGCCAATCTAAGTCATATATACATTTTGCCATGTGTACATCAGCTTCTACATTTTTTTCAAAAAACTTTCCTTCTTTCTTTAGTGCCGAAATCTCCTTCTTCCCACTCTGCCATTTCTTTGACTAAGTTTTGCTTAATTTCTCTTCTTTTATGTCTATACTCTAGCAATCTTTTGATTAAGGACCTGACTACTACCACTTGGTCCTTCCTCTTTTGGTTTGTCATCATTGGTGGTGGTAGGCTGGGATGACATGAGGCCTATTCCATTCCTTCTTGACAAGCAGCAATCCTTGTTCCAAGAGTTTTTGGGCCGTCACCTTTGTAAGGTAGCCTTTCTAATTAGCTTTTAAACATTGCAAAATCTCGACATCGGGATTATAGAAGTTAGCCTCCGCAATTTTGGATGTGGGGAGAAATGGCCATGACTCGGCCTCCATTATGTCCCAAAGCCCTTGCCCGACAGTAGTTGGTTCATGGTAAACCGTAATTTGTTAATGCAACGTAGATAGTATAGACAAGATTTGGTGTATCCAATCTCTTCATAATAAAGCCCCATAAGTGGAACTGCTATCTACCACAAAGAATGCCAACATGATCTTCTTGGACCCCAGACCTATATCTCAAGGCAGTATACCGTGTGTTTTAGTAATAGCCCTAGAAAAACTAGATACTGTGAGGTCTATTAGGATGAGGTCTTCTTCACTTCTGGCAAGTCTTTTTATCTGCTTAAAG